TTTTTTTCCTTTTCTCATATTTTTTCTTTTCCCTTCTTTCCTTTCCCCTACCCCTCCCACTTCTCCTACTCCTTTAGAGGTTTTCTTCCTATTACACAATATCAGTTATACATTGTTTTAATTACAATATCAAAATTTAGAGGACATTACCACAGGTTTTTGCAGAATTTAAAAGAATATAGAAAGCATATTACAAAAATCTTTTTTGAAATAAATTTGACAACTTCTATGAAGTACCTTGGAAGACAGTTTAATGAAACTGACTCTGGAGGAAATATAAAATTTGAATAGTACCTATTAAAGAAAGTATATTCTTGGGCTGGGGATTTAGCTCAGTGGTTACACCGCCTGTCTCACAAGCGCAAGGACCCGAATTCAATCACCGGTACCAAAAAAAAAGTATATTCTTAGCTTGAAAACCTGCCTATATGACAACAACAGGCTCATATACATTTTAACTGATGAATTATATCAAACATTTAAAGCAGAAAAAAGGAACACTTCTGCCCTCATTTTAGGAAATCAACATTGTGTTAATACTAAAACTAGATAAAGATAATAGAAGAAAAAGGTATGAACATAGATACAAATTTGTTTAACAAAACAAACTATTAGAAGTCAGACCTGGCAGTATGTAGAAAGTGGTTTAATTACAGGGATGGCCGTGTTGATTCAGCATTGGAAGATCCACCCCCATAAGTCATCATTTTAACAGAGGAAAGGAAAAAGCAATATGATCCTGTCATTAGTTGCAGAAAAAGTATTGGACTGAATTCCACAGCTGTTCATGGTCAAAGCTATCAGGAGACTAGAGGTAGAACAGAACCTTCTCAACAGATAAGACATGTACTCTATACTTCAGCAAAAACCCCTTATATGAAGGGAAAAGATACAGTGCTTTCTCCCTAAGGTAGGGAACAAAGGCAGATATGCCTACTCTTCATCTGTCCATTAAACTTTGAAACCTAGGCCCAAACCAAAATAGTCTAGCAATAAAAAGAAACAAATAGCATAGGATTGGCAAGGTAGAAGAAAAATCTTTATATGTAGATGAAATGATCATCTACAGAGAAAATACTAACAAATCTCTAGGAGCCCCTAGAATTTGTATCTGAATTTAGTAGGATTAGAAAACACAAGCTATGTATAAAAATTCAGGTCTGTGTACACTTGCTATAAATGGAGAATTGGATATTGAAATTTGAAAGTTATGTAGGAGTACAAAGGACCTAAAATGATTTCTGTATTTTTAACCTATTGGAATTATACAGAAGGTTTTCCACCAAATTCAGTACTATACCATGATCTAAAAAGTTATCCACATCCATGTGTAAATGAGGCTTTTTTTTTGGTACCGGGGATCGAACTCATGACCTTGCCCTTGCAAGGCAGGCAGCGGAACCATTGAGCTAAATTCCCAGCCCCTAAATGAGGCTTTTTAAGCTAAGTACCCAAGAGACTATAGCAAGCCATTTTTATGAATAGATGTTATTTAAATAAATACTAGGAATAAGTACTGTTAAATTATTAATTCTAACACCTTCCCCCACCCCTCCCCACCCCCAGATAGAGAGGCTATGAAGTACCTGTGATTTGACAGTAAATTGTCAATTCAAAATATTTGTAGTTAGTTCACTGCTAACTGGCAGCCCTTCTTGAGGTGAAACACATTGAAGTTGTTTCCTGGGTTTTTTTTTTTAACCAGCCAATAAGCAGAACCACTGAAGGTAGAAGTGTATGTAAGATGTGAACTACAATTTCTTCATATTGGTGAACTTGTATTAAACCCCCAGTCTTCTCAAAGCTCACTTACAAACCTGGGGGATTGTACTAATGACCACACCGTCACTGGTGCTGGTATGAGTGATATTCCTCTTTTTCCTCACAAAGTTCAAACACTCCAGGAACAGGAGTAATCCTCAGTCAAATCTCTTTAGTGTAAAAGTGTCAAAAAATTGCTGTGGACTCTACTGTCAGCATTCTCCCCTCCATTAACTTCAGAAAACTCTGGAACGAGAGACACGGCAGTGCCAGGCCCTGGTGATCTGGACTGACTGTGATAGAGAAGGTGAAAACATCGGG